GTCTTTGGGGTGGAGGGTGAGGTATGGGGCGTGCGTCTTTGCCTGCTGCGCTTCCCCAGCAGGTACTGGCTGGGGGCCTACCAGCTACAGAGGGTGGTGCTGGCTTTCATGGTGCCCTTGGGCGTCATCACCACCAGCTACCTGCTGCTTCTGGCCTTCCTGCGGCGGCGGCAACGGCGGCGGCGAGACAGCAGGGTCGTGGCCCGCTCTGTCCGCATCCTGATGGCTTCCTTTTTCCTCTGTTTGTTTCCCAACCATGTGGTCACTCTCTGGGGCGTCCTGGTGAAGTTTGACCTGGTGCCATGGAACAGCACTTTCTATACTATCCAAACATACGTCTTCCCTGTCACTACATGCTTGGCTCACAGCAACAGCTGCCTCAACCCTGTGCTGTACTGTCTCCTGAGGCGGGAGTCCCGGCAGGCTCTGGCAGACACCTTCAGGGATCTGAGATCCAGGCTGTGGCCCCAGGGTGGAGGCTGGGTGCAGTAAGTGGCCTTAAAGCAGGCAGGCAGGCGGTGGGTCTCGAGCAACCCCCTGGAGTGCAGCCCTCTACCCTGCTCACTAACCTGGACAGATGGACGCAGGGTGAAGGGCGCAAGCTGAATACACTCCTCTTTCTGAGATCCACCAAGTGTAGGAAACTTGAGTCCTGGGGAGAAGCTGCCCCCTCTGCCAGGCTGCGGCGCCCTCGGAGAAAAGTCTCATCTTTGATCCCCAATTCTGCGTGTGGTGAATGGGGAAGGCGGGGGCCCAGATCAGAGCTGGGCGTGACAAAGCTGAAGTCTTTATTAGGAGATGGGAAAGAAGAGGATCTGAGAATAAACCTCTGGATTACCCACAAATTGTTTGACATTTTATCCCAGTTCCACCTCCAGTTCAGTGTGGAACAAAAGGATTCGTTGCTCCATTTCTGCCTTCTGCAAGAATTCCCAGGAAAACTTCCCTAAGGGTTCCAGGCTAATGAATCAGAGGTCAGTGCACATCTCCCTCTGCCTGCACCCCCCCACCTAAAAACAGGGTATCCCTTGTCTTTCTCTGGTATCAAGGCCACAAATACCCTCTTCCCCTGTCCCCACCTTGCCATCTCAGTGGTGACCACAGAACCTTGCTGCCTACAGAGGCCTCAGCTGCAAAAACTATAGTGCCCCTAAAGGGATGCCAGGTGTGGGATATTGCTGAAATTCCCAGCCCCGAGTGTAAAACCCTGGTGCTCACGGGAGTGCCCGTGTCTCCCTTTAAATCAGGATTTGAAAGAAGAAAAGATAATGACAAGTCAAAGACATGGGTAGGGTAAAAGGTGAGAGATTAAAAAGGGGGCAACTGGGAGAACAGGCTGCAGGTGGAGTCAGAAAAGTGGAGACCTCAGAAAGTGGTGCTAGTCCTCCTCCTTGCCCCAAGTGCAAAGCTCAGAGTATCAATCTGAGCGTCAGAGTACCTGGATTCACACCTTTACCTCCAGCAAATTACTTCTTTGTACCTCACTGTTCTCCCCGTAAATGAGCTACTAAAGATTTAACAGCCAGGCGTGGTGGCTCACACCCGTAATCCCAGCATTTTGGGAGGCTGAGGCAGGTGGATCACAAGGTCAAGAGATGGAGACCATCCTGGCCAACATGGTGAAATGCTATCTCTACTAAAAAATACAAAAATTAGCTGGGCATGGTGGTGCACGCTTGTAGTCCCAGCTACTTGGGAGGCTGAGGCAGGAGAATTGCTTGAATCCAGGAGGCAGAGATTGCAGTGAGCCAAGATTGTGCCACTGCACTCCAGACTGGTACCTGGTGACAGAACAAGACTCTGCTTCAAAAAAAAAAAAAAAAAAAAAAAAAGAAAGAAAGAAAGAAAGAAAGAAAGAAAAAATAACAGTGAAATATACTGTTAGCTATTATTCTTACATCCTGTGTAAAATGGAGACAGAGAGAAGGGAGGAAATGAGGGCGCAGCTGGGAGATCGTAATGGGGAACCATGTCTCATCTGGAATGGTTTTATGTGCTCCAAAGTGGGGTATAATGCAAGTTTCACATAAGTAAGAAAGGCTGGGTATGGTGGCTCACACCTGTAATCCCAGCACTTTGGGAGGCCGAGGCAGGTGGATCACAAGGTCAGGAGCTCGAGACCAGCCTGGCCAACATGGTGAAACCCCGTCTCTACTAAAATACAAAAAATCAGCCGGGCCTGATGGCGGGTGCCTATAATCCCACCTACCTGGGAGGCTGAGGCAGGAGAATTGCTTGAAACAGGAAGGTAGAGGTTGCAGTGAGCCAAGACTGTGCCACTGAACTCCAACCTGGGTGAAAGAGCGAAACTCTGTCTCAAAAGCAAAAACAAAAACAAGAAAAACCTCAGAGCTTGGCCCCTAAGCCTCTCTTGAAGGTGGTGTGTTACTCAGGTCTCCAGGATAGGGGGCTCCTCTGTGGTTCCCATATTGAGACACATCCATGATAAAGGTTAGCCATCAGAAGGATTTTCTGGGAGGCAGCCTCTAGAAAGGAGGAAGGCAGAGGGAAGATGGGATAGAGCTCCCACTTTCACTGCCCCCTCCTCAGGCTCTCCAGCATGTCTTGGAACCCATGAGGACACAGGGTGCTCAAGCTCCTGGGGCAGCAGCTGGGAGCAGTGCCGCCTTAAGTGCAGAGCCCCCTGTGAAGGGCGAAGCCACGGTGCCTCCAGGTGCCCCCTGTCCCAGTTCCTTTAATTGCTGGGCAGAGGAGGCTCCAAAGAGGCACCCAATTCACAACAGATTAAGCAATGTGAAAGGAACTTAATTAGCCTCTTGTTTAATTTCCTCTTTTTGATGATGTTTAAACTAGCTCCAATAACGCCAGGTCTATTCCTAGCCCATGCAGGCAATGGAAAATCCTTCCCCACCTAAGCAACCGTCTTCCCACCCCAACAGCTCCTCTGAAGGCCTTGCTCGGCTCCAGATATTGGCTCCTCTGGGGGCATCTCTGCTTTATGGGCCCCGGAGGTAAATATTGACAAAGTTTACACAGGTCCAAGTCAGAGATGAATGCTCTTGGTGGGGAGGAGGAGGAGGAGGGTGCAGCTGGATGGAGAAGGGAGGGCTGGACAGAGCAGGCGGCCTGGAGCTCCTCTTGGAATGGAAAGACAGCAATGTCTTGGTGAGAACCTGGGCCCCGGCTCCCTAGAACACAAAGCCAGACGGCTTTGAAACTTCAGCAGGAGGGACAGAGGTTAAGACTGTAAGTTCCCAAAAGTGGGTTGGGGAGGGGACAGGGGACACAATGGTTAAAGATGTGAGAAAGGGGCCTAGCTCTCAGGAGCAGCCACATCAGACAAATGTTTGTGCCCCCACGTTCTGGGGCCGAAGATGTGTATGTGTGGTGGGCAGGGGTTGGTAACATGGCGGCAGAAGGGACAGCACTGCTGGGAAGAAAGCAGCGGTGGACTTCACACACACTCTCGGCTGTGTCTCCAGGTTTCTGTGTTCTCTTCTGACCAGCATCTCTCACTGGACCTGTGGAGGATTCTGGGAGAATCTGCATTCCCCTTTTTGGTGGTCTCTGCATGCTATCTAATATCACCACCCCACCCTCACCTATCTTCCTTCCCCACCTAAAGGTTCTACCTTTACAGCTCTGGGTCTGAGCTGCTTCCAGCTGACCTGGCAGGCAGCTGCTGAGCCCTGTGTCTGCGTGGGTGAAACCTGAAGCCCTGCTATTTTTAGGCATAGTAGCCAAGGGAGAAAAGTGGTGGACTAGAACTAAGAAGGCTGGTGAGGTGGCTCAAGCCTGTAATCCCAGTACTTTTAGAGGCAGAGGCAGGCAGATCACCTGAGGTTGGGAGTTCAAGACCAGCCTGACCAACATGGAGAAACACCATCTCTATTAAAAATGCAAATATTATAGGCTGCGCACGGTAGCTCACGCCTGTAATCCCAGCACTTTGGGAGGCCGAGGCGGGCGGATCATGAAGTCAGGAGTTCAAGACCAGCCTGATCAACCTGGTGAAACTCCATCTCAAAAAACAAACAAAAAAAACCTGGGTGCGGTGGCTCACACCTGTAACCCCAGCACTTTGGGAGGCCAAAGTGACAGGATCATGAGGTAAGGAGTTGGAGAGCAGCCTGGCCAACACAGTGAAACCACATGTCTACTAAAGATACAGAAAATTAGCTAAGCGTGGTGGCGCATGCCTGTAATCCCAGCTACTCGGGAGGCTGAGGCAGGAAAATTGCTTAAACCTGGCCTGGCAAGCTTTGTGCACCTAGGTTTCCCTGCACGTAAAATGAGAACCATTCCCCATTTTCAGGATCCCGGTAATGGCTGAGAAAGCACCTTGTAAAGGTTTGATGCTGGAGAATGAGAGTTATAGAAGGGGAGGGTACTGGCTGCTCCCCCACCCTGCTCCCCACATGATTTCAATTCCTCTTTCTAGCTGAGGGCCTGAGCCCCATTCTCCTAATTCAGCCCCACAGGGATGTGAACTTGTACCTGCATTTATACACAACCCTAGACTCTCCCCTCCTCCCCCCGCAAAGCCCCAAAGTACCAACCGGGAACAGGAAGTAAAACTAACTAAAACCAAGAACTGAAACCAGCTCATCTCTCACCGCCTCTCAAAGAGGCGAAGTAAATGAGCAGCTCCTGTGAGGGGCAACCCCAGGGCCCGACGCCATGGAGATGAACAAGGGCAGGTGGGGGCTGGATCTGATAATGAATGAGGCTGGGGACCCGGGCAACAGGTGGAGGCGATGGCTGAGCATGGCATGCAAATACGATGGACACACATTTCCTGATAGCGGAATTCCCGACATCGGAACCTGTGTGCCCTCTTTGTTTTTATCCTTGTACCGGTACATTAAAAAACCAAAAAGATTTCAGTGGTTACTTTTGTTAGTGCCCCCTCTCTTCAGTGAGGCAGAGGCTGTCCGTTCTGTGAGAGAAAAAGGCCCCTTTCAGAGGAACGGTCACTGCCCGACTCTCTCCTATCATCCTCCTCAGAACTGGCAGACATTACGGGAAACAGTACCTTGTGGAGTTCCAGGTTTTTAATTTTCCCTGATTTTTTTTTTTTTAAACAACCAAATTGGCAGAAAAAAGAAAAAACTGGGGCTGGTCGGCATTTGGGGGCAGGGGTTCCACTGAAAAATCCCCTAAATTCACGCTGAGGTTTCAGGTCTTGGTTGCTGAGGTGGAAGATGAGGTCAGGGCTCCTGGAAATGTCCCAACCCACCCTAGAACTTGTTTCCAAATGGCTGGGGAAGAGGTCAGTACAGGTCCCCGTTACTGCAGAGGAAGGCAGAGGTCACTGTCTCCCCCAGCCCTCAACTTCTTCAAAGATGTGGAGACAGGAGGCTTCGATCTCTTAATTGCCTACGATCTCTTAAAAATGTAAAACACGTGCAGTTGACTTTGGTACAAAAAAGAAAACAAAACAACATCAGAACATTCTGGTCCCTGTGGGTATTTCCCTCGCCCCCAACAAACCATTATGGCCACCCCAACCTCGATTCCATCAACTCCAGGAAGCCAGGTTATCTCCCGGGGCTTCCATGAAGGACGGAGAGAGGAAGAACAGCAATACGAGGTTGAGGGGAGAGGAGAAAGGGACATGGCCCTGCCCACAGCCCTCCTTTAATTAAAGGGCAGTAGGGTTTTGTGGCTGCAGCCTCTCCTCTAAGACGGGTGTTGCAGGGGAGGGGCGTTAGGGCAAGAACCCAGCAGCTGCGTGGATGAGCCGGAAGAAACCCCAGTAGTGTTCAAGGACACGGTCCTCTGATCCCTATGGCTTGGTTCCCATGTCCCTGGTACTTTAGATCTCTCCTCTCCCCCCGTAACTAATAAACAATAAATAAATAAATTTTCCTAAAGTGGAGGGAAGAAGGCATGAACCACTGGCATCTGTGGTGTAGCTCTCGGATGCCTCGGGGGTGTTGTGGCCTAATTCTCCCAGCTTCTTAAATGACCCCAAGTATCCAAGGATCCCAAGAGCTGGCAAGGACAATGAGCAGTTCCTTCCAATGTTCCCTCATCATTGGCAAATTGGAGTCCCCCAGGTTAGCCCCCCTCAGTAATGTTCTTCAGTGGGGCACAGGGCAGGGGGAGGGGCCCCCTTAGCTCTCGGAGGCTATCACCTCCCCGTCGCGGCTCTCCGTCTCCTCCGGGATGTCCTGCATTCTGGTAAACTCTGAAGGGGGACAGGACAAAGCCAGTGAGTGAGCAGAGACTCTCATGAGGAACTGTACCCCTATACTAATGCCTCCCCATCTGCAGGGCCGGGGTTCTGGGGCTCTGAAGGGATGACAGGGTTCTGTAAGTTCTTGGGTGAGGGGAAAACCTCTGGCAACAGTTATTTTTTTTTTTTTTTTTTTTTGAGACGGAGTTTCGCTCTTGTTGCCCAGGCTGGAGTGCAATGGCGCGATCTCGGCTCACCGCAACCTCCGCCTCCTGGGTTCAGGCAATTCTCCTGCCTCAGCCTCCTGAGTAGCTGGGATTACAAGCACGCGCCACCATGCCCAGCTAATTTTTTTGTGTTTTTAGTAGAGACGGGGTTTCACTATGTTGACCAGGATGGTCTCGATCTCTTGACCTCGTGATCCACCCGCCTCGGCCTCCCAAAGTGCCGGGATTACAGGCTTGAGCCACCGCACCCGGCCTGCAACAGTTATTTAGCAAGGTGTCCACACCTAGGCACCTGATACACTTTTATCGTATTCAAAGATACAATCTGATTAGGAAAATACAAAATACTTTAAGATTAAAGCTTTTGGTAATTTTTTATTTCATGAACCAACAGTAAAAACTTGAAGGTCTTTGGCCAGGCACAGTGGCTCACATCTGTAATCCCAGCACTTTGGGAGGCCAAGGCAGGTGGATCACCTGAGCTCAGGAGTTCGAGACCAGCCTGGGCAACATGGTGAAACCCTATCTTTACTAAAATACAAAAAATTAGCTGGGTGTGGTGGTGTGCACCTATAGTCCCAGCTATTCAGGAGGCTGAGGAAGGAGAATTGCTTGAAACCAGGAGGCAAAAGTTGCAGTGAGCCGAGATCGCACCACTGCACTCCAGCTTGGGTGACAGAGCGAGACTCCCTCTCAAAAACAAGAAAAGGGCCAAGAGCAGTGGCTCATGCCTGTAATCCCAGCACTTTGGGAGGCCAAGGCGGGTGGATCACAAGGTCAGGAGATCAAGACCATCCTGGACAACATGGTGAAACCCTCTCTACTATAGCTGGGAGTGGTGGTGTACACCTGTAGTCCTAGCTGCAGGGAGGCTGAGGCAGAGGAATTGCTTGAACCCAGGAGGCAGAGGTTGCAGTGAACTGAGATTGCTCCACTGCACTCCAGCCTGACAACAGAGCAAGACTCCATCTCAAAAAAAAAAAAAAAAAAAAAAAAAAAAGGTGGGGGGGGAAGGGGGGTGGGAATTGGCCCTGTGGCTTGTGCCTATAATCCCAGCATTTTGAGAGGCCTTGACAGGAAAATCACTTGAGGCCAGGAGTTGCAGACTAGCCTGGCCAACATGGTGAAACCCCATCTCTACTAAAAACGCCAAAAATTAGCTGCATGTGGTGGCGCACCCCTGTAATCCCAGCTACTTGGGAGGCTGAGGGACGAGAATTGCTTGAACCCAGGGGGCAGAGGTTGCAGTGAGCTGAGATCGTGCCACTATGCTCCAGCCTGGGTGACAGAGCAAAACAGCAAACCTCTGTCTCAAAATATATATCTATTTCTTTCCAAGCACAGTGGCATACACCTGTAACCCCAGCTACCTGAGAGGATCACTTGAGCCCAGGAGTTTGAGTCCAGCCTCTGCAAAAGCACAAGACCCTGTCTCTAAAATAAAAAAATTTCAGAGCGAGATCCTGTGTCTGGGTCTGTGTTCTGTCGCCTATGCTGGCGCAATCACGGAGTAGTGCCAACTCAACCTGCTGGGCTCGAGTGATCCTCTCACCTCACTCTCCAGAGTAGCTAGGACTAAAGGTGCACACCACCACACCTGGCTAATTAAAACAATTCTGGGGGCTGAGTGCAGTGGCTCACGCCTGTAATTCCAGCACTTTGGGAGACCGAGGTGAGTGGATCACCTGAGGTTAGGAGTTTACTAGCCAACATGGCAAAAACCCATCTCTACTAAAAAATACATAAAAATTAGCCAGGTGTGGTGGTGCACAACTGTAATCCCAGCTACTCGGGAGGCTGAGGTAGGAGAATCACTTGAACCCGGAAGTGGAGGTTGCAGTAAGCTGAGATCACACCACTGTACTCCAGCCTGGGTGACAGAGCAAGACTCCATTAAAAAAGAAATAGGCCAGGCGTGGTGGCTCACACTCACAATCTCAGTATTTTGGGAGGCTGAGGCAGGCAGATCACAAGGTCAGGAGTTTGAGACCAGCCTGACGAACATAGTAAAACCCCATCTCTACTAAAAACACAAAAATTAGCCGGTTATGGTGGCGGGCATCTCAAATTCCAGCCACTCAGCAGTCTGAGGAAGGAGAATTGCTTGAACCTGGGAGGCGGAGGTTGCAGTGAGCTGGGACTGCACCACTGCACTCCAGCCTGGGCAACAGAACAAGATTCCGTTTCCAAAAAAATAAAAATAGGCTGTGTATGGTGGCTTACGCCTGTAATCCCTGCACTTTGGGAGGCCAAGGAGGGTGGATCACAAGGTCAGGAGATCAAGACCATCCTGGCCAATATAGTGAAATCCCATCTCTACTAAAATACAAAAATTAGCTGGGCGTGGTGGCGTATGCCTGTCTGTGGTCCCAGCTACTCGGGAGGCTGAGGCAGGAGAATTGCTTGAACCTGGGAGGTGGAAGTTGCAGTGAGCCGAGATTGCGCCTACACTTCAGCCTGGCACCTGGCGACAGAGCAAGATTCTGTCTCAAAATAAATAAATAAACAATTTTTTTGTAGGGGGGGTTCTCATTATGTTGCCCAGGCTGGTCTCAAAATTCTGAGCTCAAGCAATCCTCCTACCTTGGCCTCCCAAAGTGTTAGGATTACAGGCATAAGCCACCGTGCTTTTTTTTTTTTTTTTCTGATTTTTTTTTTTTATTGCATTTTAGGTTTTGGGGTACATGTGTTTTTTTTTTTTTTTTTTTTTTTTTTTTTTTTTTTTTTAATGTATTTCTACTTGTAAAGGTTGAGAATCACCAACCAGTTGGGGGAGAGAGGCCCCCACACTCTGCTTCCTACAGTTACACCACCCATTCATCATCAGCCAAAACAGTCCTCTCAGTGTCCCTCCCTAGAGTTACTATAAGCCTCACAGGTCAGTTAGGGCCCATTTGGAAGCCACAGCCCAAAGGCCTGTACCCAGGCTGCACTCTACCTCTGGTCCATGTCTCCGCCAAGGTCTCACCTCGTGGACTGTGGGGCGGAGACAGACGGCTGCTACCTTCCTCCTCGCTGCCGGTGTCAGGGTCACTGCTGTCTTGCAGACGCTCTTCGGGGCTCCCCAATTCCTGCCTCTCTCGGTCCTCAAAGTGTCGATGGACAGAGCGAGTAGTGACAGGCAGATCCAGGCGGTCAGTGCCTCGGCTGGGCTGTGGACAGTGGGCAGGAAGAATAGCAGGCCAGGGACTGAGCTGTGTGAAGACTGCAGGCTCTGCTTGGCTGAAGGCAGCAGCTCTCCCCACTGGGGCTCACCCATGACTCCCCTTCAGGAGATCCACCACCAACTGACCTCTTTCAGCACCACCACCTGAGTTAGTCTCCTCCACCCCTGCACCCATCTACCTCTTTTCAGTTCTCCAACCAGTATCTCAATATCCTTCAAGTCTGCTGTCTGATTGCATTTGGGCTCAAATCCCTAATGGCCCAATTTCTTTTGAGCTCACCCTTATGTCCACCCCAGCTCTGTCCACCACTGCAGGACACCTTACCTGTGGGGGGTTGAAACTCAAGTACAGGGCATCGCCTGCAGGGAGGCTGCGCCGCCGAGGATCCACAGGTCTGCGGGCCCAGGGGGCCTCGGCTGGGAGCGGCTCCGTCTGGCCCAGGGCGGCCAGCTGCCTTCGAGCCTCTTCGGCCTCCCGCTCCAGCAGCGCCCTCGCCTGCTCACTCTCCCGGAGCCGGGCCTCCAGGCTGCCAGCTTCGGTCGCCCGTTCTTCGCCTAGCCGCCGGCAGCGCCGTAGCTCCTCCTGCAGCAGTGCATGTTGCCGCTGCAGTAATGCCAGTTCCGTGGCCTGCTTTTCAGGGGCCACAGGGGCAGCCCCAGCCCTGCCAGCCTCCCCATCCCTAGAGTTGGCTCGGCACAGCTTCTCTCGCCGCTCTGGGCCCTCAGGGAACCGGGCTTCCATCAAAGTGTCCTGCTGGGCCACAGCTGCCTGGGGGTAGAATTCGCGCAGAACGGTGTATCAGAAACCCTGTGCTCTTCTACCCCTCACCCTCACCCTCCAAGGCCCAGGTCATCACTCCTGGAGAGCCCGGACAGGGAGGTATTTACAAAGGCCTGTTAGGATGACCATGCCCCACCTAAACAGACATCTGTAGCCTGGCTCCTCCCCTTCCCCACTCAAGCCCTTGTCCTACTGACCTGTAGGCCATGTAGAAGTCCATAGAGATTGACCAATCGCTGTAACGCCTCCTGAGGACAGACAGGGTGGGAACAGGGCCCCAGCTTTAGGATGGGAGAACTGCCCAGAAGTTGAACAAGGGCGGGTACGGGGACAGTAGGATCTGGAGACGTACTTGAATGCAGATGCTTTCCCCGCCCCACTCCATACTGGGCTCTAACTTCTCAGACTGAGAACACCCTCCCTTCAGTCTCCTGTACCATCAGTCCCCATCTCACCTCTTGGGGTGATCTCAGCTGATTTCCATTTCGATCCTGCAGAAATGGGCAAGAATGGGAAGTCCTCAGGCACACAAATCTTGGGTGCCTGCCCCTGAGAGCTTTGTGTTGAGGAGAGGCTGTCCTTCTTCCACCCTCTTGCCAAATCCCAGAACCCCTTGAGGATCTACCTTCTGGCTAGAGTCTGAGTCGGCTCTGCAGAGTTCAATGGAGCCATTGAAGGTTCTGGCCTCACCATCTGTTGAGAAGGAGAAAAGGATGGCTGACTCACTTCCCTGGGGCCCTGATACCATTCAGTCTCCGGTAGCACCCCACTCTCTTTGGCCCCTCCCACCTACTACACCTTGGTTCCCTGCCCCGGCACTCACTGGCAGTGACCCCAGGACTCGTGTTACCACCGCTGTCTGATTCCAAAGGCAGGACTGGTTCTCGGGGTGTCAAGAGCAGTTCCACTCCCGGCCCCACCAGCAGGTCTTTCAGACCCTCCACTGTGGGGAAAGAAGAGGTGAGGACAGGAATGACGCAGGACTGAGGGGAATGCCATTCAACCCCACACATGGGGCACTCGGGCATCCAGGGGAATGCCTCCTGCACTGGCTACACTGCCAGTGAGCTTCACTCACACAACCACTTATGAGCTCAAGGGCAGTAAATGCCTATGGGGAAGCACGACTCCATGCAGCATGAGCGATACGGAGCAACAGCAAGGACCAAACCTCCTCCCCTGCCTTTCCCAGGAACCGGCCCAAAAGAGGCACGCAGGGCTGTTTATGGTCTATGGGTTGGTATCCCACTTGTCTGTGTTTGTCTGTGTCTAGTCACATGTCTAAATTCTGTGACGGTGAGTGCTTGAGCCTGGACTCTCCCCTGGGAGCTCCCTCACCCTCTCGGATGGCATCCTGCAGCAGCCGCTCGCCACGAGGGGACTCAAGGGACTCGGAGCGGAAAAGGCCCCTGGGCAGGGTGGGCAGGGGCATCCCACTGCCACCATCCTCCTCGGCCTGGAAATGGGTCATCTCAGCAAACAGCCCAACCTTCTCTCGAAGCAGCTCCACCAGTGCCCGGTCCTTCTGCTGCAACTCCACTGTAGATAAAGAAGAAGTGAGCACATGAGAAGGCCTGGGGGTACGCAGGAGCGCCAGGAGAGGGCAGCCCTTGGGGACAGGGTAGGGTGGGGCAGTGTGGCAAGACTTCATTTTGTTATTTTGGCATTTATTAAAAAGAAAAAGCTTTTTGTTGGCCAGGTACAGTGGCTCACACCTGTAATCACAGCACTTTAGAAGGCCAGGTGGGTGGATCACTTGAGACCAGGGGTTCAAGACCAGCCTGGCTAACACGGCAAAAACTCATCTCTATTTAAAATAACAAAAATTAGCCAGGTGTGGTGGCACGTGCCTGTAGTCCCCGCTACTCAGGAGGCTGAGGCACAAGAATTGCTTGAACTCCAGAGGCAGAGGTTGCAGTGAGCCAAGATCACACCACTGCACTCCAGCCTGGGTAACAGAGCAGGACTCTGTCTCAAAAATAAATAAATAAATAAATAAAAAAGGTTTACGCCAGGGGTTGCAGGTTGTCCAACAGTGTTCATTCTTCCCATTTTCCTTTAATTAGAAAATGCATGGAAGTTTCATCTGGGCACACATGGTTGCCCAATTGACAACTATGTTTTCCAGCCTAACTTGCACATGTCTATATCACTATGTGACTAGATTCTGGACAATGGGTATGAGTCTTCCAGATATGCTCTTAAAAGTAATGGGTGTAGGTCAGGGTGGTGACTCACACCTGTAATCCCAGCACTGTGGGAGGCTGAGGTGGGTGGATCACTTGAGGCCAGGAGTTCGAGACCAGCCTGGCGAACATGGTGAAACCCCATCTCTACTTAAAAAACAAAAATTAGCTGGGAGGGGTGGCGGGTGCCTGTAGTCCCAGCTACTCAGGAGGCTGAGGCAGGAGAATTGCTTGAACCTGGGAGGTGGAGGTTGCAGTAAGCCGAGATTGTGCCACTGTACTCCAGCCTGGGCAACAGAGTAAGATCCTGTCTCAAAATAAAAAAAAAAAAAAAAAATGGGTATAAACGCTGCTCCTTTACTCCTCCTTGCTAGGTGTAACACAAGTGTGACAGTGGGAGCTAGAGGGGCCACTTCAGACATGACATAGAAACGGAAACTTCATGTTGAAGATAGCAGAGCTGCTCCACTACTCTGCGCTTCCCATTTTGTACTGTTATATTGAGAGCAATAATCTTCTACCTTTTTTTTTTTTTTTTTTTTTTGTTACCCAGACTGGAGTGCAGTGGTGCAATTATAGTGCATGGCAGCCTTGAACTCCTGGGCTCAAACAATCCTCCTGCCTCAGCCTCCCGAGTAGCCAGGACTACAGGCATGTGCCACCATATTAGCTATCTTTTTTTTTTAAATTTTTTGTAGAGATGAGATCTTGCTAGGTATGCTATGTTGCCCAGACTGGTCTTGAACTCTTGGCCTCAAGCAATCCTCCCGTCTCCCAAATCCTGCTGGGATTAAAGGTGCGAGCCACTGCACCTGACTAATGTACTTCCTTTTTTAAGGAAGAGAAGATTTCTTTTTTTTTTTTTTTTTTTGAGACGGAGTTTCGCTCTTGTTGCCCAGGCTGGAGTGCAATGGCGCGATCTCGGCTCACCGCAACCTCCGCCTCCTGGGTTCAGGCAATTCTCCTGCCTCAGCCTCCTGAGTAGCTGGGATTACAGGCACGAGCCACCATGCCCAGCTAATTTTTTGTATTTTTAGTAGAGACGGGGTTTCACCATGTCGACCGGGATGGTCTCGAACTTTCGACCTCGTGATCCACCCGCCTCGGCCTCCCAAAGTGCTGGGATTACAGGCTTGAGCCACCGCGCCCGGCGGAAGAGATTTCTACTGGTCTTTTTGTATAGCAGTTCCATCATACCCTAACTAATATAAGGCCTTACAGTGAAAAAGTTACTCACCCAATCTTGGTCTTTCTTCCATATTGTTTTTCCACACACAGTAGTATACACTTTACACTGTTTTAAACCCTGTTTTTTTCACTTAATATGTTTCAGTTGTGGATCTACACCAGCCTTCGCAGAGTCATCTCATCTTTTTAATAGTTGTATGATATTGCATTGTGTGAATGTATCATAAATTACTAATGAGCTCATTGTGGGTGGACTTACTCTTAATTCGCCGCAGGTAAGCCTCATCCTCTGTCTCAATCAGGGGGAAGTCCTCCCTGGATGGGCATCTGGAGGGGTAACAGGTCGCATGCCATTGGGAGACAGAAGCTAGGTTATAGACCAGAATCAGCCTTCCCTCCTTCCCAAACATGCCTTATGCTTCCCTCTTCTGATAAGACTCCTCAGCCTCACATCCTAGCTTTATTCAGTTTTGACCATCTCCCCTTTCTTCCTTTCCTTTTTCTTTCTCTTTTTTTGACAGTCTTGCTCTGTCACCCAGGCTGGAGTGGAAGGGCACAATAATCTCAGTTCACTACAAACACCTCCTGGGTTCAAGCAATTCTCTTGTCTCGGCTTCCCGAGTAGCTGGGATGATAGGTGCGCATCACCACGCCTGGCTAATTTTTGTATTTTTAGTAGAGATGGGGTTTCGCCATGTTGGCTAGGCTGGTCTCAAACTCCTGACCTCGGGTGATCCACCCGCCTCGGCCTCCCAAAGTGCTGGGATTACAGGTGTGAGCCACCGCGCCTCCCAAAGTGCTGGGATTACAGGTGTGAGCCACCCGCTGACCTTCTCCCTTTTGTTAGCACTGATTATCTGTGTTTACTGATATGTATCTCTCCAAAGGTTGCCTGGAAAGGCAGCACAATGCAGAGGGTCAAGTACAGGCTTTGTCATCAAGCAAACAGGATTCAAATCCTGGCTCCACTGTTTACCAGGTGGTAACCTATTTCCTCATCTGAAAAATGAAGATAACATCTTCCTCATAGGTTTTTCATTAGGATTAAATGAAATGCTAAAGTGCTTTGAACATAACAGAAGCTCCATAAATCAATTACAATATTATTAACTATAATTTCCACAATTACAGTTTTTTTTTGTTTTTTTTTTGAGACGGAGTTTTGCTCGTTACCCAGGCTGGAGTGCAATGGCGCGATCTCGGCTCACCGCAACCTCCGCCTCCTGGGTTCAGGCAATTCTCCTGCCTCAGCCTCCTGAGTAGCTGGGATTACAGGCACGTACCACCATGCCCAGCTAATTTTTTGTATTTTTAGTAGAGACGGGGTTTCACTCTGTTGACCAGGATGGTCTTGATCTCTTGACCTCGTGATCCACCCGCCTCGGCCTCCCAAAGTGCTGGGATTACAGGCGTGAGCCACCGCACCCGGCCCAATTACAATTTTTTTTTTTGAGACAGAGTCTCACTCTCTTGCCCAGGCTGGAGTGCAGTGGCGTGATCTCAGCTCACTGCAGCCACTTACTCCCAGGTTCAGGCAATTCTCCTGCCTCGGTCTCCCAAGCAGCTGGGACTACAGGCACGAGCCACCATGCCTGGCTAAGTTTTGTATTTTTAGTAGAGATGGGGTTTCACAATGTTGGACAGGCTGGTCTCAAACTTCTGACCTCCAGTATCACCGGTCTCAGCCTCTTGAAGTGCTGGGATTACAGGTGTGAGCCACTGTGCCTGGCCACATTATAAGTATTAATGTTATTCATAAAGAAGCCATTACTGATCTACTGTCAACAGGACAGGTTATTTTGAACTGCTTTCCTGGAATGGGCAATTTCATAATTATTATTTTTTTTTTGAGACAGTGTCACTCTGTCACCCAGACTGGAATGCAGTGGCACAATCCTGGCTTACAGCAACCTCCATCCTACCCGCTGGGTTCAAGTGATTCTCCTGTCTTGGCCTCCCAAATAATTAGGATTACAGGCTTGTGCCACCACGCCTGGATAATTTCTGTATTTTTAGTAGAGACGAGGTTTCACCATGTTTGCCAGGCTGGTCTCGAACTCTTGACCTCAAGTGATCCATTCGTCTCAGCCTCTCAAAGGGCTGGGATTACAAGTATGAGCCACTGCATCTGGCCTGCAATTTCATACTTTTATATTATATGCTTTTTTTTTTTTTTGAGAGGGAGCCTTGCTCTGTGCTCTGTTGCCCAGGCTGGAGTGCAATGGCACGATCTCAGCTCACTGCAACCTCCACCTCCCAGGTTCAAGCGCTTCTCCTGCCTCAGCCAAGTAGCTGGGATTACAGATGTCCACCATCACACCCAGCTAATTTTTGTATTTTTAGTAGAGATGGGGTTTCACCATGTTGGCCAGGCTGGTCTTGAACTCCTGACCTCAGGTTATCCACTGGCCTCAGTCTCCCAAAGTGCTGGGATTACAGGTGTGAGCCACCACACCCGGCCTTTTATATGCATTTCTAAAAAACTTTTTCAAAAGTCTACAGTGCGGAAGTTAAAAAACAATGGTTTACAAATTTTAAGGTTGAGGAGAACTGATTCCCCGAAAGCTAAAGAAAAATTATAAAAATCTTGGTTGGGTGTGGTAGGTCACACCTCTAATCTCAGATCTTTTGGAGGCTGAGGTGAGTGGATCATCTGAGTTCAGGAGTTCAAGACCAGCCTGTGGCCAACATGGTGAAACCTAGTTTCTACTAAAAATAGAAAAATTTGCTGCCATGGTGGTGGGTGCCTGCAGCCCTGGCTACTTGGGAGGCTGGGGCAGGATAACTGCTTGAACCTGGGAGGCGGAGGTTGCAGTGAGCTGAGATTGCACCACTGCACTCTAGCTTGGGCAACAGGGAAAGACTCTCAAAAAAAAGAAAAAAAAAAAAAGAGGGCTGGGCATGGTGGTTCACGCCTGTAATCCCAGCACTTTTGAAGGCCAAGGAGGGTGGATCATGAGGTCAGGAGATCGACACCATCCTGGCCATGGTGAAACCCCGTCTCTACTAAAACACAAAAATTAGCCAGGCATGGTAGCACTTGCCTGTAGTCCCAGCTTTTCAGGAGGCTGAGGCAGGAGAATTGCTTGAATCCGGGAGATGGAGGTTGCAGTGAGCCGAGATCATGCCACTGCACTCCAGCTTGGCAAAAGAGCAAGACTCTGTCTTTTAAAAAAAAAAAAAAAAAAAAAAAAGAAGCCAGGTGTGGTGGCTCAGGTCTGTAATCCCCAGCACTTTGGAAGGCTGAGGCATGGGGATCACGAAGTCAGGACTTCAAGATCAGCCTGACCAACATGGTGAAACCCTGTCTACTAAAAATACAAAAATTAACCAGATGTGGTGCTGTGCGCCTGTAATCCCAGCTACTCGGGAGACTGAGGCAGGAGAATTGTTTAAACCCAGGAGGCAGAGGTTACAGTGAGCCAAGATCGCACCGCTACACTCCAGCCTGGGCGACAGAGCGAGACTCCATCGAAAGAAAGAGAGAAAGAGAGGAAGAGAGGAAGGAAAGGAAGGAAGGAAGAAAGGAAGGAAAGAAGGAAGGAGGGAAGGAAGGAAAGAAGAAGGGAAGGAGGGAAGGAAGGAAGGAAGGAGGGAAGGAGGGAAGGAAGGAAGGAAGGAGGGAAGGAGGGAAGGAAGGAAGGAAGGACTATAAAAATCTGAATTAGAATTCGTTCTTTAGGCTTAATCTTCCAGAATCCATTTTAAACATCTTACCTGTGCTTTTACTTGGTATTTTTTTCCATCACAATTAGACACATAGTTGACTGCCTCAAATCTAATGTGTGTCCAATAGAAGCTAAAGATTTGCTGCTTTGACACACTGATTTCCTTCTTGCTTCTATTGTGTTGAGTTTGTTTGTGAGACTTGTTCCTCTCTAGTATTGAGGCTTTCATTATCCTCTTTTTCATTCATTTTTAGAAAAATAAACATAAAATGCAATACAATCCAAACAACAGCCCTCTGCCTACAGACGCAGATGTGAATGCTGCTGAAAGTGTACTGCTGGCTGGCAGGTATGCCACCATGTGACAGCTCAAAGTACTCCTTTGCCTGTCAACTCATGCTGCATTTGAAAGGTAGTTGAGCTTGGCAATGTTTAAGATGTACAATGTATAAAATGTGACTTTACAGGACATAAAAACATAGGTGACCTTTCCTGTCTTGGCCATTTTGTCTCTCCCTCAACCTCTTCCCCCGACTGTGAACGCTTGATTCTGTTCCCAGGGAGTGCTGTGGTTGGGATCTGATGCTGCAGGTACCCTGAGGCCATAAGCACAAGCAGGCGGCAGGTAGACACTCACATGCGCACGGTCTGCTGAATGACTCGGATCCAGGTGCTCCGGTCATCCCGGGATGCTGTGTGCACCTCGTACATCTCGGGTGGGGCTGCGCTGATCAGAAACATCCCTTTCTCCTGGTTGGCAATGTCCCGTACGATTAGATTTTGCAGTGATACCACTGAGGGTTTGTCCTGCCAGTCAAGGGAAAGGAAGGATTAAGCTTGGGAATTCTGAGGGCTGAAGAATCATCCTACAATACCAGGTAAGAGCCAAGGCACTGATGCCAGCCAGAAGAGACTTAGAAATTGTGTGATCCTTGACAAATTATTTAAGCAACTTTAAGTTTTACTTTCATCATCTATAAAATGAGGATGAAAATCATCTTTTCCCACAGGTGTACAAGTACCTGTGCACAGTAACGATACCTGTGAGCTGCTCTTGTTTTTTATTATTACGGCAATAGTAACAGTAATAGCTGTTTGACTCTGGGGTACTCCAGAGCTCTGGTGGGCTTGGGCAGGAAAGCAAGAAGGGCCTAAAGCACTTGTCTGTGCTGAGAAAGGTGAAGAATGAATGTCTCACCAGGGTAGGAAAGATGTACTTCTGGTCCTTTTCCTGGAGAAACACCAGCACATCTGTCATCAGCAGCATTAGCACATCTGGCGGGGGATGAAGGTGGGAGAGCAGTCAGCACTAGACAGTCTGAGCAGCTGTTTTCCTCTTTCCCAAGGACCAGGCTTATCCCATCAGGTTAGAGCTCCCCATTGCCTTTCTTCCCACTGGCTGCTTCCACTTTTACAGACCTCTCACCTCTACCCATTTTTTTTTTTTTTTGAGACGGAGTTTCACTCTTGTTACCCAGGCTGGAGTGCAATGGCGCGATCTCGGCTCACTGCAACCTCCGCCTCCTGGGCTCAGGCAATTCTCCTGCCTCAGCCTCCTGAGTAGCTGGGATTACAGGCATGCGCCACCATGCCCAGCTAGTTTTTTGTATTTTTAGTAGACACGGGGTTTCACCATGTTGACCAGGATGGTCTCGATCTCTCGACCTCGTGATCCACCCGCCTCGGCCTCCCAAAGTGCTGGGATTACAGGCTTGAGCCACCGCGCCCGGCTATCCATTTTTTTTTTTGAGACATCTTGTTACCCAGGCTGGAGTGCAATGGCATGATCTTGGCTCACTGCAACCTCGGCCTCCTGAGTTCCAACGATTCTCCCGTCTCAGCCTCCCAAGTAGCTAAGATTACAGGCATATGCTACCAGGCCCAGCTAATTTTGTATTTTTAGTAGAGATGGCATTTCACCATGTTGCTCAGGCTGGTCTCAAACTCCTGATCTCAGGTTTACCCATCAGCCTTGGCCTCTCAAAGTGCTGGGATTACAGGTGTGAGCCACTGCACCCAGCCACCCATTCTTACAGCTTAAAAATGGTTGGGGAGGGTGCGGGGCAGAGAAGGATTCATGTGCTATCAGACAAAACGGCATCGTGGGCTAGCAGGGATCACAGGGGTCACTCAGTGTCTCTATAGGAAACGCCTTTTACCTGAATGATTCAGGTTTCTTAACCTAGAGCCTACAGACTCCCTGGGATGTCAGGTTTCAGGGGCTCTGTAAGCCTTCTGAAGTTGTGTAAATAGTTTTACACAGAAACACAACTCACGTGTATTTTTTTGGGTGACAGAGTTGAAGATTTTTGTTTTTGAGTCGTAAGAATTCCCAGAGCAAAAGGGACCACACTTTTTTTTTTTTTTTTGAGACGGAGTTTCGCTCTTGTTACCCAGGCTGGAGTGCAATGGCGCGATCTCGGCTCACCGCAACCTCCGCCTCCTGGGTTCAGGCAATTCTCCTGCCTCAGCCTCCTGAGTAGCTGGGATTACAGGCACGCACCACCATGCCCAGCTATTTTTTTTTGTATTTTTAGTAGAGACGGGGTTTCACCATGTTGACCAAGATGGTCTCGATCTCTTGACCTTGTGATCCACCCGCCTCGGCCTCCCAAAGTGCTGGGATTACAGGCTTGAGCCACCGCGCCCGGCCACACTTTTATTTTTTACTTATTTTTAGTTTAATTTTTTTATTTTATTATTTTTTTTTTGAGATGGAGTCTTGCTCTGTCACTCAGGCTAGAGTGCAGTGATCTCGGCTCACTGCAATTGCCTTCTCCCAGATATAAGCAATTCTCCTGCCTCAGCCTCCCAAGCAGCTGGGATTAAGGAGTGCGCCACAATGCCTGGCTAATTTTTTTTTTTTTTTTTTTTTGAGACGGAGTCTTGCTCTTTCACCAGGCTGGAGTGCAGTGGCATGATCTCAGCTCACTGCAACCTCTGTCCCCCAGATTCAATTGTTTCCCCTGCCTCAGCCTCCTGAGTAGCTGGGACTACACGCACACATCACCACGCCTGGCTAATTTTTTGTATTTTAGTGGAGACGGGGTTTCACCATGGCCAGGATGGTCTCCATCTCCTGACCTCATGATCCGCCCACCTCGGCTTCCCAAAGTGCTGAGATTACAGGTGTGAGCCACTGTGCCTGGCCTAATTTTTGACATTTTTGTAGAGACGGGATTTCACTATGTTGGCCAGGCTGGTCTCAAACTGACCTCAAGTAATTTGCCTTCCTTGGCCTCTCAACATGCTGGGATTACAGGCAATGAGCCACTGATGCTGGCCTATTTTTTATTTGTGGTGGGGGGGGCGGAGTCTCACTGTGTTGCCCAGGCTGGAGTGCAGTGGTACAATCTCTGCTCACTTTGACCTCTGCCTCCCAAGTTCGAGCAATTCTCGTGCCTCAGCCTCCCAAGTAGCTGGGACTACAGGGAAGCACCGCCACACCCAGGTAATTTTTGTATTTTTAGTAGAGATTGGGTTCCACCATCTTGGCCAGGCTGGTCTGGAATGCTTGACCTCAAGTGATCTGCCCCCTTCAGCCTCCCTGGAATTACAGGAGTGAGCCATGCACCCAGCCCAGACCACACTTTTTAGCCTTTAAATTCCATTTCTAATATCTAACTAATGGAAGATCTTTTTGCTATCTGACCTAAATTCTCCCTGTCCTGGCATACTCCCACTTCTAATTTTGAGCTTGGTAGGGAGGGAGAAAGTTTCCTTCCTCTCACAGAGGCCTGAAAGACCATCCCTCACCCATCCATCTCCGTCAGCCCCAGCAGGCCCCTCCTTCAATTTGTCTGCTTCACACTCCAAGCTCTCAGATCCTATGGGGTCAGCACTCCAAGACTGAAGGAGGAAACAAAGGTCAATTCCATAAAACTTGAATGTTTGCGAGGCACAGTGGCTTACACCTGTAATCCCAGCACTTTGGGAGGCTGAGGTGGGCAGAGCACGAGGTCAGGAGATTAAGACCATCCTGGTTAACATGGAGAAACCCTGTCTCTACTAAAATACAAAAAATTAGCTGGGCGTGGTGGTTAGCGCCTGTAGTCCCAGCTACTCAGGAGGCTGAGGCATGGGAATTGCCTGAACCCGGGAGGCGGAGGTTGCAGTGAGCCGAGATGGCACCACTGCACTCCAGCCTGGCAACAGAGCAAGACTCCGTCTCAACCAAAAAAAAAAAAAAAGGGCTAGGCGTGGTGGCTCACGCCTGTAATCCAAGCACTTTGGAGGTCAAGGTGGGTGGATCACCTGAGGTAGGGAGTTCAAGACCAGCCGGACCAACATGGTGAAACCCCATCTTTATAAAAACAAAACAAAAAAAAGAGTTCTTTGCGTATTTTGGCTGGGCATCGTGGCTCATGGCTATAATCCAAACACTTTGGAGGCCAAGGCAAGCGAATCACCTGAGGTCGGGAGTTCAAGACCAGCCTGACCAACATGGTGAAACCCCATCTTTGAAAAAAAAAAAAAATTTGAATGTCACAATCAAGGAAACACAGAAGGCCACACAGTGACTCAGGTCTACAATCCCAGAACTTTGGGAGGCTGAGGCAGGAGAATCGCTTGAGGCCAGGAGTTTGAGCAAGACTAGCCTAGGCAACATAGCAAGACCTTGTCTCTATAAAAAATTTAAAAATTTGCTGGGTGTGGTGGTGCACGTCTGTAACCCCAGTTACTTAAGAGTCTTAAGGCGGAAGAATCACTTGAGCCCAGGAGTTTGAGTTACAATGAGCTATGACTGCACCACTGCACCCCAGCCTGAGCAACAAAGCCAGACCCTATTTCTAAAAAAAAAAAAAAAAAAAAAAAAAGAAAAAGAAAAAGAAAAAAAAAAGAGAGAGAAAACATACACTCACCCTTTGCCCTTGGGGATTTTACTAAACTGTGGGCACACAGAAGGGGAGGGCTTTTGCTAAACGCTTCAGAAATAACGCTCTCCAGCCTTGCTATTTTTAATCTCCCATGGTTTATATTCTTAGCTGCTGCGTGGGAGTGATGGGAAGGAGAGAAAGGGATAAAGGAAAGAGGCTGGTGAAGACTGATGATATCCAAACCCAGGGAGCAGGGATTTCATGACATGGGTACAGAGGCTCAGCCAGGCTCTGGCCTCAGGTATCACAGTTTCCTTCTGTCCCTTACATCTCACCCCCAAAGCCAAGGCCTGCTATTTTCTTGCTTTGATTTAGGTAGGAAAGACTTTTCCAGCGCGGACAAATTTTGGAGAGAGAGCCTGGGAAAGTATGCCCTGGCCCCTGATCTTCCCCCTCTGCTCCGCTGTCTCTTCTCTTCCCTGCCTGTCCTTCACAAGCTCAGTCCCCTTTTCCGGGCCTCCTCTGGCTGCACTCCCCAGGCTCCTGCTTACTCCCATCCCTGGTAGCTGGGATTCCAGCTGGGGGAATCAACTGATCCTCGCCTCCAGTCTGAGAGTTTCTTTGTCTTCCTCAGTAAAACTGGTAGCTCTCTGGACATGCAAGAACCCAAGAAATGAGAAAATACCGAAAAGGAAGGCCCTTCATGGTCCATAAAGTTAACTGCAGAATTCCCACTTTTGCTGCCACAGAGACCCCAATTTTCTCTCCCACTGAGTCTCACTGTCGTATGGGCCGAACAGAGGTTGATTCTAAGGCCTGCAGGCATCTCCCACTCTCCATCGACTTTCAACTCCTGCCTAGTCTGCTCAGCAAGTCTGACCTTTGAAGCGCCCGGTCGCTGTCTTCCAAAGCAGGCAGCCATCGTGGATGAGTTTGCGCCGCAGAAGTTCCTCTCGGCCAAAGGGGCCCTTGCTAGGCACTGGGGTCTGAGCCCGAGGGTCCATGCGGTTGTAGATCTCCTGCAGACGGGCCCCTTTCTCCAGCTCATGAACGTCCTGGTCCACATTGGACAGCAGCTCCTTCACTAGCCCCAGTGCCGTGGTCAGGTCCTGACGCTCCTCCTCGATCCCTGGCACCGGGGGTTGGCACGGGGGAAGGCTCAGCCAGCTACACTCACACCCCAGTTCCCATCGGTTCTTGATTCCACCTTTAGAAGCTGCCCAGGGTTCCACACCCGACCCCACCCTTCCTGTGGTCATCCCAAGCCCTTCCTCGCCCCAGGTGGCGGTCTCACAGCGGCCCCCTTCTGGGCCTGCCTACTCACCGTGGGAATGCTGCAGGATGCGGCTGAGCAGCACCGGGTACTTGGTGATGCGCTGAGTCACCAGCAGGATGCACTCCTGTACCCCGTGCCGCTTGAGCACGGCGGAGCGGGTCACTTTCTACAAGGGAGGAGGCGGGGCTCTCAGGGCCAGAGGGGAGGGCAACGGAAAGGCCTGGCACCTGAGCTCTGGTGCTGGCCCTGCCATGGCCATGTCACCTCACGCTGGCCTAGGTGACACGTTTGGAAAACGGGGATAGCAAAGCCACAGGTTTGTAGTGAGGACCAACTGAAGGAGTGAAAAGTACTTGGGAAACTACCACAACATGGTCTAGCACTCTGAGGGGTACTGCTGATGAGATCCACGTGTAGACGGTCCACACGGGTGGTCAATGCCTGACCTCCGTGTGGGTGCAGCTCACCAGCACTGCCCCCATGAGTCAGGGAGGGTGGGTTTGGGCCATGAGCGTGGGATCTGGAGAGGTTGGCTCACCCGGATGAATTGCTGGAAGCGTTTGTCTCGGGCATATAGCTCCTTATAGAGCTTTAAGGCCTTGGTGTGGCGGCTGCAGAACTCCGAGTAGGTCTTCCGCATCTGCTCCGCGCTAGGACCTGAGAACTAGAAGTTGGTGGAGCAAGTCTAGGTCAGCATTCCCCCACAGCCACACTGTACCCCCTGGACACACCTCTGGCCTCTTGCCAAACAGACTGGCATCCTGTCTCTCCAGCTTTCCCTGGCTCCCCTCCAACCCCTGGAGTTTGGATGCAAGAAATACGCAACCCCGTCACACCTCCTTCCATGAATGTCACCCAGGGGCCCTGCCTTTTCCCACCTGGCTGATGAGCAGATCACCCAGGCGGTGGATGACAAAGTTCCGGGTGCTGCCAGGGCAGAGGGCCTGGCGTCGGCGTTCTAACAGCTGGCTGAGGAAGCGTGTGTGGATGTCACTGAGCTCGTCCACGCAGGGGAAGAGGCCATGGACCACGGCGGGCTCCAACTGTAGCTCTTCTAGCATCCCCGTGCGGAAGAGGCGGGTCATGATCTTCAGTGTTCTCACGTGGTGCAGCTCTGTCTGGATTAGCTCTGTGGGAGACAGAGGGACATGTGGCCTCTACCCTGGCTTGCCTGAAACTGGCAGGGCCCTAGGATAATGACCTCATGGCTCACGTGAGGTTTCTAAGGTCCCCTCCAGGTTGATATTCTGCATCATTATGATGTGAGATCATCTTCTCATCATTTTTATCTTTTAAAAAACTTATTATTATTTTTTTTTCCCCCAGAAATGAGCTCTTGCTCTGTTGCCCAGACTGGAGTATAGTGGCACCATGATAACTCACTGCAGCCTTGAACTCCTGGGCTCAAGCAGTCATCCTGTCTCAACCTCCCAAGTAGCTGGGACTATAGGCACACGCCACTACACCTGGCTAGTTTTTTTAAAATACGTTTTAAAGACAGAGGTCTTGCTTTGTCGCCCAGGTTGGTCTCAAAATCCTGGCGTCAAGTGATCCTCCCACCTCAGCCTCCCAAAATCGCTGAGATTATAGGCATGAGCCACCACGCCCAGCTCCATTTTTTATCTTTACACCTTATCATCTCAAGCTGTGAGCTATTTTAGGGCAAGAACCATATGTCTTCTACATGTCGAGGCTTCCCACAGCCTCCAGCACGGTGTTAGGCGTGGAACAAGCACAGCGTAAAGACTGAAGATTGAGATAAAGAAGGGATAAAGAGGGCATTGGAGACTCAACAGCATCAAGAGGCAGGGACCTACTGGGCAACTTGTGGGATACCACGCAGGGTCTTGGAGGTCAAAAGGATATAAGGGAAAGGGTTTTCAGAGGTAGGGGCTGGTAGAAAGAAGGACACAGCTGGGCACGGTGGCTCACATCTATAATCCCAGCACTGTGGGAGGCTGAGGCGGGCAGATCACCTGAGGTCAGACCAGCCTGGTCAACATGGCAAAACCCTATCTCTACTTAAAAACGTAAAAATTAGCCAGTCATGGTGGCTGGCATCTGTAATCGCAGTTACTCAGGAGGCTGAGGCAGGGAATCACCTGAATCCAGGAGGTGGAAGTTGCAGCGAGTCGAGATCACGCCACTGCACCACACTCCAGTCTGGGCAACAGAATGAAGCTCGGTCTCAACAACAAAAAAAATACAGAACACAGATAAACAGGACCAGGTGAAGGAAGAGGAAGACCAGGGCGTCTTGGTCTTGGCTCACCGTAGATGACATCCTGCTGCTTCATCACCTCCTTCTTATGCTGCTGCAGGAAGCTGCTGTCCACAGCCAGGCTCCAGGAGTCAGCTGCAAAGTCTTTCTCATCCATCTCAAAGTCACTCATCAGCTCGTTGTAGACGACCTCTGCACCTGAACATGTGCAGGGCAGGCAACTCAGAGGTCTTCAGTTCCCTTCGCTGGGTCCTTGGCCCTTCTCTAGATCCCTTCCCTCCTCGCCCTTCCCAGGCGACTCCCACCAGCCTCTCATCCTCAGCCCCTCTTCATCCTCCTCAAGGCTCCTCGGGGCCCAGGCCTGCTCACCTTCGTCAATGAGAGATTCCACTGATAGGGTTCGGTTCCGCATGTTGAGGGAGTCTGTGGACTGTGAGAGGATCCGGCGCAGCCCCAGGGGAGACTCATCATTGAAGTGTCTGAAGAAAGTGGGGGCTGTCTGCATCACCCCGAGACGGGCAAGAGACCCTTCCCAGGTAGGGAACCAAAGCCAGGATCCAAGAGGCAGTCCCCCTAAGTTCTCCTTACTCCTCTGTCCACAGTTCTGAACTCAGGGATGGAAAGGGACCCCTCAGCACCCCTTGGTCTCCATTGCCACAGTCTCTGCCTGCCCCTTTCCCCAAAGAGAGGCTCACCCAGCAATATTGGTGGTGGAAACACTCTTGGCTAAAGACAAGGAGGAGCGGCCACGGCGGGAGCCGAGGAGGGACTGCCGGAAGCTGTCGGAGGGGTAGATGGCCGAGCTCGGCCGCTCCCGGATGGTTGCTGTGAGGGAGAGAGACCCAGCAGGCAAACATCACACTCCGGTGCTTCCCGGGACTGAGGCCTCCCAGGCTCCCTAACGAGGAACGAGGCATCCTCTCACTCCACCTCAGCTCCCCCCAGTCAAGAAAGATGACAATGATTCCACCCTACATTGGTGCAATACTTTAATGTTCACAAAGAGCTTTTTCTTACTTATCTCCTCCCTGACATAAGCCTATGAACAAACGGGAGCTCAGAAAGGCAAGAAGACTTGTCTAGGGTGACTTGGCTGATGGCTGGGCAGGCTCTTTAGACCTGAGTGCCATGCTCTTTCTGGTACCCCAAAGCTGTCTGAATTGACACTTGACAGCTGCCACCGACACTCCCAAAATGCAGTGTAAATAACCGACAAAAATACAGGTTGTGGCCAGGCTTAGGCAACCACCCATCTCTAGTCCTCATCCCCATCTGGACTCTCCTGTCCTGCTTCTGAGTCCTAGAGAGTCTGCGCCATCCCTTAGGCCCCGCTATCTGCTTCTAATTGAGAAGAGGAAGGTGCTGTGCCTGGGAACAACCTTAGGGGGGCAGCAGAGCCCATGTGTTAAGCAGCCTGGGGTTCAGGGGCTCGGGGGCCTCCTCCACTCCCCAACTACTCACTCTTACTTCGAAGAGACACGGACTGCAAGGCAGTGTTGTTCTTCAGCAGGGCTGCTTTCTGTTGCTGTGAGACAGAGCAGGAGAGAGATACCAAGAATGGCCGTCACCCAAGGATCACCCCGGAGGCGTGGGGCAGGAGCTAGGAGGCCGGCCCCCTTAGGAGAAACCTGGCACTGTGGTTAAGGGGATCAGGGTGGTTGAGCCCAGCGCTGCAGGGACATGTCTGCAGCAACAGGCCTGGCCTACGTGGGGCCCGAGGCCAGGGGTTGAGGGTCTGGGCTGCCCCATGGTGAGGAGGTGGGGTGGTGAGAAACACAGGGTAGGGAATGAATGGAAAAGGCATGAGGGTACCGCACACTCACTACCCTCTCCCCCAGCCCTCTGCCCTCCCTGCCGTCTCACCTTCTGCTTGACCTTGGTACAGTTGGCGAGGGTGTCTTTACAGCGGTTGTGGATAGTCACATTGCAGGCTGGGAGGGTGGGGTAGAGAGGGTGAAGGGAGGGCCGGGTGGTACAGGAGGGGACACACCCACATGCAGACACCCATCTCCTCCTGGCCACGCAGTCCTCAGGGACTCTCCCCCCTTCCCCGACTTCTGGGCCATTACCACACCCCAGTCCCCCTCCTCCCACCTCCCTCTTCCTTCAAGCAGGAAATGAAGTGACGGGGGTATAGGTGCTGGATGAAATTAAACAGTCAGGTGGGATGGGCAATCCTGACCCCAAGGTGGCCTGAGAGGTGGACCAGAGGGGAGCAGGGGTCACTGGCTGCCAGAGATGAGCTCAAGAAGCACGAAGGTGGTTGTGAATGGCAGATGGAAGAGAGGACTCCCACAGAACAGAAGACGGCACAGAGGCAGCCGGGATGGGGCTGGGGCAGAGGGGAAATTTACATTCCCTGAGCTTATCAGAGTCAAGGTTCCACATTTACTTAATCCTAACCACCCGTGGAGGGAGGTTCAGTTATCCTCATATCATGTATGAGGAGCCTGTCCTGGAGTGGCTAAATCTGTCCGGGGTCACACAGCCAGTGGGAGAGCTGGGCTTTACACTCCAGCAGGCCTGAATCCAAGGGCCATGCTCCTTCCCTTGCACCCCATGCCCTGGACTCCGGCTGGGCCTCAGTGGCAGAGAAGGGACATGACCTGCCTTGCCCCAACCCTCCCCACCAAGCTTGGCCTTCTCCTTTCCAGGCCCGGGAGTCCTGTTCCCCCAACTCAGGCACATCCACAGCTCCCACACTCCATCTGCTTCTCCGCCATCCTCCACCCCACCTTGCCACGGGGTAGGAGAGAAGAAGAAAGGAAGAATCGCCGAGCCTAGGCACTGGGGCCCCGGCTGTGCCCTTCCCAGACATGCCCTCGGCTCCGGGCCCTCTCCAGTTTCCCCTCCCCCATCCAACAACACCGGAAACTCTGCTAACTCTTTCAGACAATACCCAGCACCACGCTCACTTCCACAAATACAAGGCAAACAGGGTGGAGCAGAGGGGGCAGACAGAAGTGGGGGTTGCAGCTGCCCCCACCCCTCTGGAGCTCCCTTCTCCCACCCCCAACACTCAGTGTCTCTGGATCGAACCTCCGCTTTCCACCTGCTCTCAAAATAGTGCTGCCCGCCTCCCCTGTTCCCCTGGCAACAAGCTTCCGGATTGGGAATTTTGTCAGGTCTCTACAAGATCTAGATTGGGGTTCCCTCCTCATCCTCACAACTCTAAGTTGAACAGTGAGGAAAGCAGGGAGGCTCCACTGGTTCTTTCTGGGGGTACCTTCCCCAAGTTCCATAGGGATTCACAGGCTACAGCTTTTGTCAACTATGCAGTAGCAGGTCACAATACCTTCAATCCTGCTCTAATCAGAGGCATCTCTGCCATAACTTCAGGAGGAAATGAGGGAGAGTGGGCAGCAGGAGCCCTCTGTATAGGGATCCTGGGGAAGGAAAGAATTCCTGGCTTATACTCCCTAAAGACAGGGCTACACTCAGATCTGGATGAAGGGCAGGGATTCTAACCCCTGTCCCCAACACACATATCCCTTCCGCATTCCCTCTTTCTCACTGTGTAATCAGACTAGAAATTTGAGATGAAGGGTCCTAATCCCATCTTGTGCTTGAAACGTCAGAGGTTTCAGTCTCCAGCCATAGTCAATAGAAAGGAAGGGGCAAGGGGACTGTGAAGTCCTTAATGCCCAGCTCTGCCCAGGAAGATGGGCAGAGCCAGCTGCAAGGCTGGCAGCTTTCCACCCAGTTCCTCTATCACCCCCCCATCCCACTCCCTCCACACATACAACATTCCTGCTCCTTCTCCAATCAGTTCCCCTAACCCTTAGCAGCTGTTCGGGGAGCAAGAGGGGTACCCGGTGGATGACAGCTGCAAGGGGAGCCAGCCCAGCCTCCCCTCCCCCACATCCCCAGATAGTCCGGCTTATGCCATATTCCAACAGCCACCACCCCTCGGCGTGAGGACAGGGAGCAAGGAATCAAGCATCTGGCCCTGGCATTTGGGCCCAGCTGGGGATGAGAGAGAAGAGTGACCCTCATGGGTCCAGGCAGAAAAAAGCAGATGCAAAGATCAGGGTCAGTGGGCACTGAGTCTGGGTGACTCTTAGGGTCCAAACAACTTACTTGGGCAGATGAGAGCTTCCTTGGCTGTGATGCTCTTGTTACAGGCATAGCACATGGTCATGCCTGAAACTGAGATGGTGGTGAAGAGGTGCCCATTGGTATAGCGGGCATCCTTGGCTTCCTTCATCTTCTCCTTTTCCCGGGCCTGCGGAAGGGGTGAGAGGAAAAGGAAGTGAGGCTGGAAAATACCAGGGTGCCTGGAGTCCAGAGAGACAGGCGGGGGGCAGAGGCAAGGAAGAAATGCCAGCCTGAGGATGCTGGAAAGACACCAGTTCCTAAAACAGAGCCTGCAACTGGGTATCAGAGGCAGCTGTCCAAGAGTGACCAGGCCAGGCTCTGGGGCAGCCAGCCCAGGCGGGTTCTGGGTCCCTGACCTACCTGGCCCCTGCGGCTGGGCTGCCTCCTATTGCCACTCATCTCCCTGGCTCGAGGTCTCTGCGTCCTCACTCCACCTTCCCAGCCCTAGCTCTGCTCGCCCCCGAGCTGCTGTACTCTCTTCTCTGTGCTAGGGGGAAGATGCGCAGAGAGGAGGGGAGAGCAGGCGAAGCAGAGGGTGCCAGCTCACCAGCGCTTTCCAATCTATGGGAGTTAGCTCCTCTTATAACCATGACAACCGATGTTGGAGCCGCTGTCTCCGTGGCAGTCACAGGGGGGGGGGGGGGGGCAGGAGATCCCCTTATTAGATTGGCTGTACGGGGCAGAATGCCTCCCCTGCCACCCCCAAGCCAGAGGTCAGGATCCCAAACCTCTAGCTCTTTTCGCCAACCGTCAGCCAAGACACACGGGCCCGTCTGGGAGGCAGCATGTCCCCTCATAACCTCAAGGCAAGGGCAGCTGCCTTTGGGTCACCCCTCCATTCTGGGATATTTAAGTAAGGAAGCTCAGCCAGCCATCTCGGTTGCTTTTGGCAGAAAATCTCGCCTGCAGTCTAACTTTTATCCCTTTCATACTATCCTCCAGAGTTAAAATCTAGGAGAGTCCTCTTTTGCTCCTCACTCAACTGGGCTCTCCCATCCTAGGAAGTCCTTTCTGAGATCTACCCTCCACCCTTCAGTGCTGGTCTCCACAAACGGCGCACACCTTCCTCGGAGCCTCCGGGCCGACCTTTCCCGTCTCTGCTGTCTTCCATTTCCCCCAGTGTCCCTGCCTCTGCAAGTCGAGTCATTCTCCCTGACCTCCAATCTGTCCCTCCTCAAGTCCCTGCGCTTCCCAAAAAGCCTGAGAAGGTGAGAAGCGGGGGATATCACTCTTCCCACTCTTCTAGGACCTTCCTCAGTTGTGACCTCCGGATCTCTAGATTTTCCCTCCGCTCTTGGAGCAGGAGTAGAAATTGACAAGACCACTCCCTCCAAGGTTTGCCAGCCTCTCAGAAATCAAAGAGCAGGATCCAGATGGCTGAGGGTAGAAGTCCCAAGACAGAGGCTCTGGGCTGGGGACAGAGAATTACAGTTCAGTGGGGAGCACTCAGCCCAGACTCTAGGACACCAGTACTGACTCAGCCCAGGCCATGCTAGCAGCTGAGAGGTGGAGGAGGTAGAGACTCACAGGCCTGGTGGTCAGGGCAGAAAAGGGTAGAAAGGGGAAGTGTGGAGGGGCTGAGTCAACAGTGCAGGGACAGAGGGCATGGGGCTGTAGTGCCTCGGGTCTCAGAGCTTCCTGGTGGCCCAAGATCCTTCTTTTTCCTGCCTTTCCTCCCAAGCTCCAGGTTTGCCTGATGATGTGCAGAGCCCAGAGGTCTTTGGGTCAATTTCTTCTTCCTTCTTCTCGCATGCATCCTCCCCACCCCCAATCATCCATTGTTCTCCTCCTCCTCCTCCTCTTCCTCCTCCTCCTCCTCCTCCTCCTCCTCCTCCCTTCTCCTCTCAGGGTCTCCTTCCTGAGCTCCTCCCCCTCTGCCTTCCCTTTCTCAGCCTTGCTTCTCCGCCACTGTTCTCTCCTGCCCACGGCCTCTCCTCCTCTCCTCCTCACGCAGGCCAGCTGCTCCTCTACCTAGGCTTATTCAGGAAGCTGAGCTGCCTCTGGTCTCAAACTCAGATCTCTAAACCGTTCTGGCCTCCTTTTTTCTATTCCAGTACCTACCTACTTGGACCACTAGAAAATGCTCCCTTTGGTCTAACCTCCACCTATCTTGTGCCAAATCATAGCTCTTTAGAAGTTCAAATTCAGGCTGGGCACAGTGGCTCACATCTGTAATCCCAGCACTTTGGGAGGCCGAGGCGGGCAGATCACCTGAGGTGAGGAGTTCGAAATCAGCCTGGTCAACATGGTGAAATCTTGTCTTTACTAAAAATACAAAAAATTAGCTGGGCGTGGTAACGGGCACCTATAATCCCAGCTACTTGGGAGGCTGAGGCAGGAGAATCGCTTGAACCTGGGAGGTTGGGGGTTGTGGTGAGCTGAGATTGGGCCACTGCACTCCAGCCTGGGCCAGAGTGAGACTCCATCTCAGAAAAAAAGAAGTTCAAATTCACCTCTGAATAATAACCTCCCAGGATCTCAAAGACGGAGTCCAGATATCTCTTCCCACTGCCATACACTCTCCCTTTTCTCCTCTTCTCCTGCTCTTCCAGCTGTCTCTATGACACAAATCCAAAGTTTGAGAATTTATCACATTTGAATTAAAAGCAAGAGGCCAAGCCGGGCGCGGTGGCTCAAGCCTGTAATCCCAGCACTTTGGGAGGCTGAGGCGGGTGGATCATGAGGTCAAGAGATCGAGACCATCCTGGTCAACATGGTGAAACCCCGTCTCTACTAAAAATACAAAACATTAGCTGGGCATGGTAGCGCGTGCCTGTAATCCCAGCTACTCAGGAGGCTGAGGCAGGAGAATTGCCTGAACCCAGGAGGCAGAGGTTGCGGTGAGCCGAGATCGCGCCATTGCACTCCAGCCTGGGTAACGAGAGCGAAACTCCGTCTCAAAAAAAAAAAAAAAAAAAAAAAAAAAAGCAAGAGGCCAGCGAGGTCACTCACACCTGTAATCTCAGCACTTCGGGGGGCTGAGGTGGGAGGATCGCTTGAAGCCAGGAGTTTGAGAACAGCCTGAGCAACACAGTGAGACTCCCGTCTCTATTAGAAATAAATAAATAAATAAGTAAATAAATAAATAAAAACAAGCTGAAAATAGTATTAATAAAAAAAATATGGCTGCACCAGGGTCACTCCAGAATGGGCAATGCTGCTGCTCTGCCCCAATGCTGCTACAAGTACCCTCTTCCACACCTGACCTCTGCCCTCCCCCTCCCCCCTGTGGCAGCCACAAACACTCATCTGCCCCACCAGCTCAGATGGCAAAGGGAGGAAGAGGACTAGGGCAGCCAGAGAACAGGGTCTCTAGTGGCCCTTCCCCTCTCTGGCATCGATGCTCCATAG